CCTGCTGTGTTCATCCAGCTCTACACCTTGTTATCTCAGATTCTCCAGCTCCTACCATCTCATGGGAAAACTACACTTGCCTAGAGTTACGTAGTTTTGGTCTCCTTACCCAAGGGAAAAAGGTATACACGTCTGAAAAGGAGAGCAGCAAAGCTTAAACTGATTTCTGGGATGGGGATTCATCCATTGACAGTGAGGAAGCCAAGCTTAGAATTTAGAAGAATGAGATGACTAATGAAATCTTTTGTTTCATTTATTTTTTTCATGAGATGCAAGCTTTGCACCTAACGTTTATTGCTTATCCCTAATTGTGCTTGGGAAGGTGATGGTATTAATAACTGGAGTGCTTGACAACGGTTGATGCTGGGTTGAAGGTTTTCTGTACTCTATAACTTAGGACGATAGTCACAACGTAAATGGTTAGCAATTTAGCAATGTGTGTCATGAAACTTTGGAATTCTCTACACCATAGGGAAGAGGATGCTCCAATGTTGAAATACTCAAGATAAAAGTTGATTGAGCTTTTCCCCCCCTGAATAGTAAGTGCCAAGAAAAATTCAGATTGAATGAGAAAGGGGTAAGTAAAAGTTCAACCGATAACTTACTCAATGGCAGAGTAGGCTCAAAAGAGGCACAAGGCCCATTTCTGTTCCTCTGTCTCATTCTTACCTAATGAGGTCCTCAACATGCTTTCCAAAGATTTTGATCAAGCAAGATTCATCAGGATCTGTATGGTTTCTTGGCTCTGCTACTTATCTGGGCCAATGTGTGGCGTATAATTTGCTACAACTGACAATATTTATTTTTATGTAACCCATTATCATCTGAGCTCCAAGTTCCTTTCAATGTTACCATATAATTTAGACAGTATTTACATTCCATTAAAATTAGACTACTTGCAAGATAGCTGTTCGAACCAAATTTTATTATCTTCTAAACAAAAAATATTTTGAAAAAGGATCCTTTTTGCCTCATAATACAAAATGGATGAATGATTGATGCAGCTTCAACATCAAGTGTAGAAACTTGGAATTCAGGATATTAAAACTGCCACCTATATTAAAATGGCAGAATTAATTGAAAAAACTGCATGTTAAATGAAAGGCAATAAACAAGCAACTATTACCTTCTAACACCAACTCTTCACCAGGAAACATTTGATTGAAATTAATCTTTCTGAGTCGACTATTACCGCAAACTATCTGCTCATGGGCACGATGATTCCGGGTAAGAGCCCTGAGGTAATGAGTTAGAGTTGGGGAGAAAAAAAAGACAAAAAGGAAATGTCATTAAAAAGGTGCATAATCAAAGTAACAAATATTCAAAAAAAAAAAATCAATTGTCCTAATTTAGAATATTTGCATTTTAATGTAAAAATAATTAATAGCAATTTTAAGCTTAAAGACACTATTGAACAAAGCACATTTATAGGATAGCAAAAAGTTCAAGAAATCCAGTTAATACGTCAAGTTGCCTTCAATTTGCTGCAACTTCAAACTCAGAACAACCTGGTCACACAAAAATACAATTTAGGGGCACAAGTAGGCCATGTGGTCTCTCAAAACTGCTCTGTCATTTAATAAAATGGTATGAAATAAGCAATTGTAACCTCAACTCCAGAATTCTCACTATCCCCAATAACCTTTCATCCATTGCTTCCAAGAATCTAGCCACCTTCATTTTTTAAAACGAAGAAAGATTTCCTTCTTCCAAAAAAAGTAACGGAAGCAAAGTTCCAGAGACTTATGACCCTCAGAAGAGGGAAGATTTTGCCTCATCAGTATCTTAAATCTGTAAGCCCTTTATTAATAAAGTGGCTTCCATGCCCAGATATTCTGACAAGACAAAGCATCCTCTTTGTAGCTACCCAGTGAAGAACACTCAGGATCTTACATTTTTCAATTAAGTCTCCCTCAAAATCCAGCAGACACAAGTCCAGTTTGCCCAACCTTGCCTCAAGAATCTGTCCATTCTAGTATCAGTCTGGTGAAACCTTCTCTGAACTGCCTCCAACACATGCACATCCTTCCTTACATTAGATGTGGTCTCACCAATGGCCCAAATAATGGAGTACAGCCTCCTTATTTTTATATTCAATTCTCCTTGCCGTAAATTATAACATTCTATTAACTTTCTTAACTATTTGCTGTAACCGCAGACTAGCCTTTTGCGACTCACGCACAAGGACACCCAGATCCCTCTACATTTAGATAAAATAGGTTTGTTTTGTTTTTTTAAAACACTTCTTGCCAAAATGGACAATTTCACATTTTCCCACATATATTCCATTTTCAAGAATCTTGTCCACTCACTTGACCAATGTATATTCCTTTGTCCTCTTTACAACTCCGTTTCTTTCCTAGCTTTGTCTCAAACACAGGAAGTACACCTCAGCTTCTTAAAAGGCCAGTTCTAAAGAGTTGAAGCCTAGCACTGATCCCATGGCACACCACTTGTTACCACTTGCCACCAGAGCACCGATTTAATCCTTCTTGTTTCCTGTTAAGTGGCTACTTGATGTCAGGCTCTGTGGCAGAGTAGACGGGACATTGGACTCTGCCTATGCAAGTAAATTACCTTCTACACCATAAATTTTCCATAATACTGTGCAACCAATCCTTCCAACATGAGGACTGTGTGGGGGTCAGAAGAAAACCTGCAGGTTGTGGTATTCTCATGCATCTGCTGCCCTTGTACAAGGTCACATTTTGGAAGGCACTCTCCAAAGGAGCCCTGATGAGTTGCAGCAGCGTACGTGGTACATGGCATTCACTGCCACCACTATGCATTGAAGGGGAAGGAAATGAATGCTGAAGGTGGTGGACTGGGTACCAATCAAGTGGATCGCTTGGTCTTGTATGGCGTTGAGCTAGTGTGTTGTTTGAGGGGCATCTAGCCAGGTGGGTTGAGAGTATTGAATCACATTCCTGAGCTGTCTCTTACAGACGGGAGACAAGAGGCAGGATATTCAGTGCAGAATGCCTAGCCTCTGATGTGTCCTCATAACAATTCCTACAGTACAGCTTACTTAGTGATTCTAATTTTCCTGAGCTCCTCCCTCCTCTCATTTCCTGATATACAGCCTTTTGTGGGATGTTATTTATATTCCCTTTGGTGAAATCTTCAATGAAAAAACCAATTCAATTTATCCATCATCACTTTGGTTTTCATTAATTCTCCAGGTTCACTTTCTGTAGGACCAATGTGTACTTCATCTTTCTAAAATATTTGGAGTATTATACATTGAAACTCTTACTATCTAAACAAAGAAAATAGGACCAGGAATAGGTCATTTAGCCATTCAACTAGGATCTTACTAAATGGCACAGCAGGCTTTATCATCCTACTCAACATGGTATTTCCACTTTCTCCCAATGCCCTTTGATTCCTTTAGCCATAAAGAACATACCTAACTCATTCTCAAAAACATTTAATGTTTTTAAAATATCCATATTTCTAGCTAGCTTTCTCCCAAACTCTAACTTTGTCATTAATCTTTGCCATTTTTTCTGTTCTTTTATATTCTGTCTAATCTTCTGACCTGCAACTCACTTGGCACCATTTCGTTTTTAAAAAATTTATTACCTTTGACTTTATTTGTAACTATGGGTAGTGATCCACAACTTAGACTTCTTGCGCTCTTTAAAATTAATCTATTCTGCATATTCTCATATCTCCTTAAATTTCTGCCACTTCTGTCTATTGAGCTATCCTTTAACGCAAATTTGCCAGTTAACCTCAGGTAGCTCTGCTTTCATGCTTCCCAAATGCTTTCTTCCAATTTAAATCGGTAGTCACTGACTCATTCCTCTCTCTCTCAAACTGAATGCGAAAGTCAATCATATTATGGTCACTGCTGCCTCACAGCACATTCACAGAATACATGAGCTAATGCTGTCAGATTGCACAATATCAAGTCTGGTATAGGCTGCTCTCTGGTTGGATCCAAAAACGTGCTGTTCTAAGAAACTATCCAGAAAACACACTGAACTCTTCATCCAGGCCACCTTTGCCCATCTGATTTTTCTCATCCATGTAAATTTAAAAAGAAGCGTCCAATGATTACTGCTATATCTTTCTGACAAGTCTTTTATATATATTCCATCCTATTGCATGGCTGCTGTTAGGGAGGGGACTGTACACTAGCCCAACAAGATTCCTCACTTATAACATTTATCGACTCTATCCAAACTGCTTTTACATGCTTTTCAAAATTCTTTTGTGGGACCTGTGCATCGCTGGCTGGCTGGCTGGCTAGCTAACATTTATTGCATGTCCCCAGGTGCCCTTAAGTAGCGTGAACTGAGGCAAATAAAGGATAAGTAATAAATGCTGGCCAGCCAGCAACACCAATGTCCCACGAAATAATTTAAGAAAGGGATATGAAAGCAATTCGGGTACAGGCATAAATTCATAGATGGATTCGAGAAATTAGGCTGCCCCTCTCTATTGTGTTCATTCCATCATTAAAATCAACAAGAGTCAGTGACATTCTTCCAACTTTTTCTAGCTTCTTGACCTGACCTTCCTGATGAAAATGGTACAGATGCCCTGTATTACTTTCAATATGCATCTCCAAACATGCTTTGTAATAGCCATCAGATTGTACTCATTTTTATTTGGACTCTCAGTTAGTCAGCTTTATTTCAAATACTACATGCACTCAGTTTTTAGGTTTTATCCTTTTCTTATTTTTGTAACTGACACCCTTATATGTTGATTTAGTGTTAAACCTCCACTCTGTCACTTCTTCATTCCCCATATGACAATGAGAAGAAGTGATAGGGTAAAGTTTACATTCTTTCATGTCAGTCATTCAGCCTGAACAAAAACTATCATTTAATCAGTCATTTAATACTGGGGAAACGGGCATTACTCGAATCCTGTTGAGAAACTATTAGGACTATTGAATTATTTCGGGTCTCTTACGGTTGACTCTGTCCTTACTTTATGTCTAAAAAACTATTCTACGTCTGTCAGTGGACACTGAGAATAAGACTCCTAGATGAAATTCCTTGTCTGTTGCTCAGATCTTCTAATATCAAATATATCGTTGGAACTACTGCCACAGGCTTTTTGTAACTCATCATGAGCATTTAAGGAAACAACCAACTAAATATACTGCCCCAACAAAAAAAAACACACACACATTGGACATGTACAGGTATATTGAAGACTCGAACAGAAATTGTATACAAGCCACGTACCTTCTTAGCTGCTGTCGTGCCACCTCATCTCCCCAAAAGAAACAAACTCTACAAAGAAATGCCGAATCCATTTTACAGTGAAGGTATTCTCTTAAAGTGGAGTAGCAGGTTACAGTAATTATCTGAGGAAAGAAAAATTACATACAGGTACATCAAAACGAAAAGATATTCAACATTACAAATGTAAAGGATATTGCTTTTTATTAATCAGTGATTAAACCTAAAATGACTGTCCAGTTCATGCAGGATTTGTGGAGAGAAACTATAGTTAATGTTTCAAGTCACAACCCTACAGCTGCAATAATTTATTTTTTGTTCGTGGGATGTGGGCATTGCCAGCTATGCAACTCTTTATTGCCCATCCATAATGGCCCAGACAGCAGCTACCACACTGCTGTGGGTTTGGAATCATTTCCAGTCTTGGCCAGGTAAAGACGACAGATTTCCTTCTTGGGAAAAAGGACATTAGTGAACCAGATGGATTTTTTTTTGAAAACAATTTTCAGTAGTTATATGGTCATCATTAGACTAGTTCTTTTTAAAATTCCAGATATTTATTAAATTCAAAATTTCAGCATCTACCATGATGGAATTCAAACCCACATCCTCTGAACATTGGCCTGGGATTCTGGATTACTAGTCCACTGACATAAGTAACCAACAGAAACAGTAGTAAAAAGAGGGAGAGTTGGTAGGAGAGGAAAGAATAATCAAAAAAGAGAAGTTGCTGACAAGGGTGCTGGCTGCCTTTGTCTACCAAACCAACTCAATTTAGAGACAGAATGCAACTCTAACACTTCCTGTAGATGTTGGTGTGTTCACCGAGCTGGGAGGTTTGATAGCAGACATTTCATCCCTTTACTCAGTGCTGTGGAGCCTCCCGAGAAGCACTGTTGTCTTGTGCTGATTTGAATTTATATGGTCTGGTTTTTGCTGCTTCCGGTAGGTGCCAGTTCCGGCCGTGCATTGTAATGATCGGTATATCGGGTCTAATTCAACTGGTTTGTTGATGGAGTCGGAGATGAATGCCAAGCCTCTAAGAATTCCCTGGCTGTCCTGTTTGGCTTGTCCAATGATGTCCCAGTTGAAAGTGTGGTTTTTCTCATATTTATTGAAACCAAGGACATCTGGTCATGTCATTTAGATGCTAGCTGGTGTTCGTTGATGTGGGTTGCTAGTTGTCTGCCTGTTGTCCCACAGTGTTTTGTGCAGTCTCCGCATGGTATCTTGTAAACCACATTCGTCCTGTCCATGGTATCTATTGGGTCTTTAACCCTGGTCAGTTGCTGTTTTAGTGGGGCTGCCAGTTTGGGTGCTGTCATGATTCCTAGCGGTTCGAGTAGTCTGGCCGTCAGCTCCGAGGGCGTTTTTTTTGGTTTATGGTATGGTGGTTATTGTTTCAGGTCTTGGCGTGTCCTGGTTGTGTTGTCTGTTGGATAGGCATCTGAGGATGAAGCTGCGGGGGTATCCATTCCTGGTAAAGACATTGCAGAGGTGCGCTTCTTCTTCCTTCTGCAGATCAGGTGTGCTGCAATATGTAGTAGCCCTTTTGAACAGGGTCCTAACGCAGCTCCTCTTGTGAGTTGGGGTGGTTGCTGTGATAGTTTAAAGACCTGATCAGTATGTATGGATTTCCTATATACTTTTGTAGTGAACACACTGTTGTGTTCTTTCCACACCAAGACAGAAATTGACCAGAGTTAAAGACCCAAGAGATACTAGAGACAGGACAAAAGTGGTTTACAAGATACTATGCAGAGACTGCACAAAACACAATGTGGGGCAAACAGGCAGAGAACTAGCAACCCACATTCACGAACACCAGCTAGCAACTAAACAACATGACCAGACGTCCTTCATTTCAATACACACAGATGAGAAAAACCACACTTTCAAGTTGGACAACACTGTCATCGGACAAATCAAACAGAGGACAGCCACGGAATTCTTTGGGGCTTGGCATTCATCCGTGGACTCCATCAACAAACACGTTGAATTAGACCTGATATACCGGCCATTGCAATGCACAACCAGAACCGGCACCTATCGGAAGCAGCAATAATGGGGCCATATAAATTCAAACCGGCAGAAGTCAACAGTGCTTCACAGGAGACTCCACAGCACTGAGGATGTCACTTAGTAAGGGGATGAAACGTCTGCTATCAAACCTCCAGCTCAGCAAAACACACCAACATCTACAACCAGCACCCGAGCTACAAATCTTCACTCAAACTCTAACACTTCCTATCAAGTCAACCGAGACCAGAACCGACCAAAATAAAATGGCGCCTGCCAACAAACATAGCATCATCCTTTCCAGGCCAGTTACTAACATTTCCTTTCGAGATTTTTTGCTCTACTACTTACCTTCTCGCATCCCATTCTCACCTTCTTCCCAAGGTCCACAAACAGGACCTTTTCATGGTAAACACACCATTTTAGCTATTCCTGCACCCTAGTGCCAATTCTCCTGTCTTTTCCCCATATGACTGCACACCACTTACTTTTGCCACATTTTCAAGTATTGTATTCAGTGGGATTGCTCAGTATGGGAAAAAAACCACTCTTACAATGACAATCTCGCTATGCTTGCACATCACTTTAAATCAGAACAGTCTTGTTCTTTTTCTACACAGGCCCCCTCTGAGTGACAGCAGCTTCTCCTTATCTACTGTCCAGCCTGCTCGTGCTTTTGAAAACCTCCATCAGATCTCCTCAGCTGCCTTCACTCCATGGAGAAGAGGCACAACATATTCAATCTATCCCCATAACTGAAGTTTCTCATTCTAGGAGCCAATCTTTTAAATTGCTTTTGTACATTCTCCAATGTATTCATATATCTTTCCTTTAATGTGGTGACCACAACAGCTGGAGAGCTGAGGTCCAACAAATGTCTTATACAAGTTCAAGATCACCTCCTTTCTCTTGTACTCTGTGGCCTTATTAATAAGCCAGAGAACACTTTTATTAACTGATCTCTCACTTGTCCGGCCACCTTCAAATGACGTGTGCACATATACTTCCTTGTCCGTTTGCTCCTACATCTCATGTAGGATTGTATCTTGTTTCACTGCTCTTCCACCTAAAGTGAAGATTCCTTTTGAAATCTGTGCCAACTCTCCTTAAAACAACCCTCACGCCTCTCCCTAAAAATAAGGCAATTACTAATTCTATCCCAAATAATTGCCTGTAGAAGCCTTCCCACCAAAGTCAAACTGACTGCTAGGATTATCTTGAGATCATTTCTTGAACAAGGCTATAATGTTGGGAATTTCAGTGTTCTGGCAACTCACCCTACTCCAAGGAAGACTGAATTTACAGCCAGTGCCCCCACAACTTCACTTTTCTTCAAAATCCTTTGATGCATCTCATCTGGTTTCAGTGCCTTGCCCGCTGTAAGTGTCAACAATCTTAAGACTTCATCCTTATTAATTTTTGATCCCTCCTAATGACAGAGCTTTCTCCTCTAACCATGTTGTGGACCACATCCTCCTCTTTGGTAAAGAGGGATGCAAAGTATTCATTTAACACCTCAGTCATGCCCCCAACTCCATGTATAAATCTCCCTTTTGGTCTCTGGTCAGCCCTAATCCTCCTTTAATCACTCTCTTACTAAGTATATGCCTTTAGATGACAACTTTGGGACTGCCTTTTAATGTTAGTCATCCACGGAACTCTGGATTTGTTTTTGTCCTACCTTTTCCATCCGAGGAAATATACCTTGACTATATGCAAAACATTTGCTCCTTGAAGGTGACCCATTGTTCAGTTATTTTTTCCCACCAGTCTTATTCTAAATCAATCTGTTTAGCTCTGCTCTTGTACCATTAAAGTTAGCTCTCCACCAGCTGATTTTTTTGTTTCTCCGCATTATTGCATGTCATTCTCCAAGACCATCCTGAACCTCTGATACAATGATCACTATCTCCTAAAATATTCCTTGCTTGTCAGACTGGATACATACTACTGTAGGAAATCCTCCCTAACACAACCCAGGAATACTTGTCTCTACTGTCCCTTACACTATCAATATCCCAGTCTCTACTTGGACAATTGAAGTCACCATTGCAACCACTCTTCACATTTCTCATCTCCCTGCAGGTTTGTTCCTCTATTTCCACTTGTTAGTGGCCTATAACGATACTGACCAATGTAACTGTGCCCTTTTTACTCTGAGTACAGAGTTGATTTTGCTAGAGCTACCGTGTTTGAGACATTTTCCTTGGTCAGTGCTACAACATCCCCCTTAAGCAACACTGCTACCCCTCTTCCTTTCTTAGCTTTTCTGACCAACTTATAACCAGCAATGTTTAACACAGTCTTGCCCTTTCTTGAGGAACGTTTCCCTCACTGCCAGGATATCATAATCCCATGTTGCAATCTGCACCTACAACTTCCCAAACCTTATTTATCATACTCTGTGGTGTATATAGACATGTACATTAAATCAGGGTAAGGGAGAGAGAAAGGAAGTCCAAAATAGAGATAATGTATTAACTTACTATTCTTTAAGTTATTCCTAGCTGTCTCCCTAAGTAGTTTGCAATCCCTGGTATTCCTCTCTACTTTTCTTTCTTCATTCCCATAACCCTAATCAGTTAGTTCTAAAGCCCACCAAATGGCACTAGCAAAACACCCTGCAAGGAACTCAGTCCCAACTCTATTCATGTGAAATCTATCTGGCTTATACAGGTGCCATCTCTCCCAATGCCAGTTTCGAAGTCCCAGAAATCTAAAGCCCTCCCTCCTGCACCATCTTTTCAGCCACACATTCATCTGCCTTATTCTATTTTTATACATACTTGCAATATTGCAATGACACCTGCTTGCTCGCTTTCTATCTAGTCCCTAAGTTCTCACTGCAGGACCACATCCTTCATCCTAGTCAAATAATTAGTACCAACATACAGCACAACCTCTGTATGCTCATCTTCCCTTCCCTATGCCCCCATCCAACGGATCCGAGACAGTCATATGGAAGTTTTCTGCTTAATCCTTGAATAAGGAACCAAGTCTTCATTGACCACCAACCTCCTCTTCCTACCTTAACCTGTTCTCAGAAATACTTTTCCTTCAACTCTGCTCATTTCCTCCAAGTCAAAAAGCATTGCAAGAGATAGCCACTCTGTTCCATTCTGCACCCGTTTTTGTTTTTGTTTTTGTCACAGGTGGAACATATCTTGTTTCTTTCTTAAAGAACCTCTCCCTCACCTTATTTCTGGTGAATAGATGACTGTACTGGTGCCCTTTCCTTTTTTCCCCTACTTGAACTGAAATATTTAAACTTGATTTCTAATTTCTATTTCTTTCTCGTCGCTTGATCTATCTCCCTCCAATTACATAGTTAGAAAGGTATAAAGCTTTCCAAAGTTAACTGGGTAAACACAGACTAAAAGGCACAGCAAAAACAAACTAGAAAAATTATAGAATCAAGCCAAAATTTTCAATTACGCGTATTCCAATGAAAACCAAAAGCTCAGCAAGAAACAGCCATCTGTGGTAGACTAATGAAGTCAAGAATAACATTAAATGAAAGAAAATCTAGAATCCAAGAGTGAAGACCTTTAAGATTATTTCAGGAGAAATGTTTGAGTGACGTTGGAGTGCGACTTAGTCGCTATAAATCATATACTTTTAATTCATCACTATCAGTACAGGGAATCTTTTGGTTGCTTCGCAAGCAAAATGTAGTAACTAGAATAATTATTCCTGAATTGTGAAAAGCTAGGAAATGAATGCACAAATGTATGCCACTACACATCAAAATTGACAAGGACATATTTATATGTCATAAATATGACGCAAAACAAGTCAACATTATAGTGCTTTTGGAGCAAAAGCAAAGTGGGCGTTATAAAGTGTAGATGTTTACTAGTAATGACTTGCTGTAAGAAATTTGGTTAACGTTAATCAATATTATTTCCATTTCTAAATGAATTCTTGCCATTATAGCAAATATGGTGAATTAGTCTAATGAAGGCACAACATTTATCCAGTATTTCACAAGGTAAACTTTACATGAAAAATTACTGTACACTGTCTTAAGTTTGTCTGCCATAATCTTAACCTACTTCCACTCAATACTTTTCTGGCCATTACTGTCTTCACTGTGTTCCTTCAGCTATGTTATGCCCTCAGCAAGAAATAACGTCCTGAATGAGCTGACTGAAAAAAAAAATGTTCTAACTTATTCCAAGAAGATTTAAGCTCAGACTGTTTTGCAGTCAAATATGAACAGTAAAGGTCCTTGCATGGAGGCCACCCTATGATCTCCAAAGCAGCCAAAATTCATCAAGTACTAAAGACAGAACACAACCGAAGTTTTACTGAAATATGGTGTTAGCAAAGTGCTTAGATTGGAAGGCTGAACTTTAAAAAGCACTCAGCTCTGTCAGATAATAATGTAATCAGAATGAAAGAAACTTTCCCTCCTTTAGCTAGTAGCACATGCACATACAAAGGGAACTGCTTCCATCCATAATGTAAACTCAAAATATAGGCCGCATCTAATCTTGATACTGAAGTCAAGCAATCTTCTTTCAACTATTACGCTTGTGCTCAACAAACTTTAGCGCAACAACTCTAATGAGAGCATTAAAATATAGATACATGTCAGCACACAAGAGGTCAAAGGTGCTAAAATCATTATCAACTGTGACAGTTCCATACCAAAAAATGTAGAAGGTGAGAAGTATTAGATAACAGTTCCAAAATAAAAGCCTCAACCACAATTAGATTGTAGCAAACAATTCTGAGAAAACCTGCATCTTTAGGATAACTTGGCATCTGCAATGCTACTCAAATAGCTAAAGAAAAATATTTATGTTGAAAATCATGGCAACTGTCTGAGACGATCAAGAGTTAACCAAGCTCCTTACCTTTAGGAATGTTCGCAGCTGTAATGTGATCTTAAGTTCAAAATCTAGTCAAATAAAATTTGAAGAGCTATCCCCTGAAGTTTTGAAAAAAATTGAGAAATATCATCTTGGAACGATCCTCCTTCAAGTACTGAATGGATGAATTCCATTTGTATGTCTTACATTTATCACGTTCTGAAGAAGGGTCACTGGACTCAATGTTACCTCTGCTTTCTCTCCAGATGCTGCCTGAAATTTGTTTGTTTCACATCTTCAGTATCCAGAGTTCTTGGTTTTATTTATTTTGCTTCTAGATTTCTTTAAAGTGGTTTCTGTGAAAGCTCTGCAGTAACCTCAAAAGTTACATGAATAACAACTTACAAATTAAAAAGGTTGTTCTTTACTATAACCATCTTACCTCTTGAGTCCGTTCCTTGAGAACAAATTGTGCTGGAGAAACCTGTATAACATCGGTGGTCATAAAAGTTGTCATTTGTAAATCTGAGAAACAAGCTGCCTTAACGTAAGCAGCCCGAGAGCCTGTATTTCTCATACAGAAAGTTATTTTGGTCACTTTATCAGGTGTGATACCATTCAAATTCACCACATAACCGTCCGATTGTTTATCGACGTCTTCCAATATAATGTTACTTGTTCCTCCATAGCCTGAAAGTGGAATCTGGAAAACAGTTTTAAAATTATTATAATACTTTAGATTGCTTTGTATCAAAGCATGCAATCAAACTTCAACTTATTGATCACTTGCTGAGTTGACTGTACAATTGCAATCTTGTCCTTTTTGGGCCACATGACATAATGCAGGCAGTAGTTACCAGATAAAAGGACATTTACTAAGCTCAAGTTACAATTCATTAATTCAAATCAACTTAGAGAACTGCTACAATTTCTGCACTGTTCATTTAAGCTAACGTACTTATTTCCATTTCATGCTGGGTTTCTTTTAAAATCTTCAGCAGAATTTGAGTTCAGAAATGGATTAATGGATTAATTCCTAAAAAAGTAACTTCAAGATTATACCACCCAGTAGAGGAACAAACTGACAAAGGAAATTTATTCATGGTTACAGTTTTGAGAACTCTAGTCAGAACAAATCAAATGGCTTACATGGGAAGAGAGGTGGAATCAAAAATCTTTGAGAAGTTAACAAGAACTATTAAACTGAACCCAACAATATTACTTTAACAACTCGCTTAGAGGAAAAGGCTTCTACTGCCTCCCTGCCTGATCATTCACAAAGAAAAACATTTTGTGAAGTCATGTTGCAGTTTGTAGATAAAATATTCTAGGAAGACACATATCAGAGGTGTATGCTATGCTGTTTAAAGGATCAAGGTAAGGTCTCAAGTTTTACTGTGTTGGGCATTGTCCTCACCCCTTTCAATGTGAAGATCTTGTGGGGGTTTGACAGCTTGCAACATGCAGTTTTCAACGGCCATGAAAGGAAACTAATTAAAAACGGTAACATGCACCTTTCAAATGGAAAAGGCCAAACCTAAATAATTGAACAGATTTGTTTTACATGAGTTACAATTTAGTTTGAAGCAAGCAATCATATACATACAGTGAATTTTACTCCCGGTTGACTTGAACGTATTCCAGATTGCTTAATTTCAAGCCTTGCCAACATGCAAGCAACCCGTGTAGGTGCAAACAAAAGATGAACACAGATATCTTCTTTCGGACAAACCATCAACTCACGACTACTACTTAGTCTTTCTTCAGGGCCAAAAGAGCTCTGTAACTACAAAAGTCAGTTAGTTATTAATATCTTGATTTCAAAAATTAGAGAATGCCTCGACTAATTTTTCCAAGCTACTAACAATCAAAAATACATCAGGATTTTTATTAAGTCACAAAATATACCTTTTAAAAACTACTACAAAAACAAATCTTCAGACGTTAACAAACTATGCTGCTTTTATAGTAATGCAGATTGCTTGCTCCATCACAACAGATATGTACTAGCACAAAAACAAACCAACAGTGAGCACCTGAACTGTGCAGATAGTATTTGGTCAGCCTGCATTAATTTCAGAAATTTAGGATAATAAAATTGAAATTCTACCAGCCATTGTTTCTACTTTACAAATGGGTAAGCTTATAAAACAAAAATCAGTTGTTGCACTGGGAAGATGATGGCATAATAGAAACAGCCACAGCGTGAGTGATTCAGAAACTCAGACTAACACCCTGGAGTCATGGTCCAAATCCCATCAAGACAATTGGTGGAAGTTAAATTTGACTACAAAATCTGGAATATAAAGCTGGTCTCAGTAATAGCAACCACAATAGCTATTGTTGATAAAATGTGAAGGTCTTTAATGAAGTAACCTGCTAGCCTTAGATGGTACAGACTACATGTGACTCCAGTCCCACAGCCACCAGGTTTGGGATGGGTAACAAATACTGCCCTGGTCAGTGACACCAACAACAGTGTAAAGAATTTGCTCACTTTCATTGTTAACAGACACCCCATTGCAGACAGATAGACGTAATATCAGGTCATTAAAGCCAACTTCAAAGAAAGATGGTCTACAATATGACCAAAAACAACACACACTCTTGGAGCAAAGGCCAAGATACACAAGAGCAATAAAGAATACAAGAACATAAGACATGGGAGCAGAGGCAGAGGTCATGGCTGAACTGATAATCCTCAACTCTGCTTTCCCCTCCTTCGCCATAATTCTCTATTCCTTTTCGATTAAAAAAGGAAAGGCTGCCTATTTAGTTCTTGAATATACTTAACACCCAAAATATATGTGATAAAAGAATCCCACAAATTCACTATCCTCAGATGAAATTCCTCTTTGTCCTCTAATTCTGAGATTATCCTGTCTTGTCGTCAACATCCTAAATTATTTTGGAGGGTGCACAAACAAACAAACAAACAAACAAACAGCATCTAACTTGTCAAGTCCTCCAAAATTCTTGCATACTTCAATAAGGTTACCACTCTTTCCTCTAAATTCCAATGAGTGCAAGTCCAAACTGCTCAATCTCTTCTCATAAAACCGCCCACATCTAGAATCATTGGTGACCTTCTCTGGACTGCCTCCAATACGAATATAGCTTTTCTTAGATTAGGAGCTGAAAATCATTCACCTACGCTAGCTGCAGTTTGATAAAAGCGCATTGTATTGTTTTAGGAAGACAGCCTTATTTTAATACTCAATTGGAAATAAAAGGCTAACATTCCATTTGCCTTTACGTACCGAACTTGAATGTCAGCTTTTGTGATTCATGGACAAGAACTTCCAAATCGCCCTCTTCTGTAGCTTTCTGCCATCTGTCTATTTAAATAATATTCAGCTCCTCTATTCTTTCTTCCAAAGTATAAACTTATATTTCCCCATAATATGTTCCATCTGCCAAGTTTATTCCCACTTACTTAACTTGTCTCTATCCCTCTGCAGAGTGTATTTTTGTGGCATCTACAAACTTGGCTATAGTCGTTATACTTTCCTCATTCATGTCTGCAATATATTAACAAAGCAAAAACCAAGTTATGAAGCCATTAGGAATGCTTGCTGGAACAAAAACTTCCTGGGGTGTCCATATGCAGGTCACAAATTAATGCAATATTTTACCTGAAAGCAGTCTTGATCTTGACCTTTGATCAACAGTCGTAACTGTTGTGCAACAGATGAAGAATTATTTCTGAGAATTAACTTCTGTTGACTGTAAGACCAAAAGAAAACTGAGAAAATATTCAAATCAACTTAAAAATTTTATAAATAAACTGTTGTTAAAGGACAAAAGACAAACTGTTATACAAAAACTTCACAATTAGCCATGCCTCGGAGATGGAGGAGTCAAAGCTGCATGAACAAAACTGTTTTACACAATGGTTGATCAAATGACTGCCTTATGCCACAAGGACAAATTATAGCCTTGCAGAAGAATTTACGGAGTTAACTGCAGGAAAGCTGTGTCTTCAAACAGACAGTCAATGCAAAATGTAACAAGGAACAGGGAAGCCACTTCTGATAAGGTGGGAAACTGCAAACTTGATAGCTCCAGAGTAGTACTCAACAGCTTGGATGAAAGAATCTAAATGATCATCAGAACTGTCATATCAAAAACCTGAAAGAGAAAACTGAATAAAGAATTCAACTCCAGAAATCTTCAAAGGCAGAACTCTGGAGAAGAACACAACACAAGGACTGAACCTGAACGTCCAGAGACAGACACCGAATTACAATCTTGGCTTAATTCCACCATTAATTGGGTAAAACCAAGTTGGGCTGTGAGGCTTATCTTGCTGAAGGGGCTTTATTTTGCTTGCTACATGCAATAAAGTTAAAATCATTGTTTCAGTATTTGATGACCTGTGAGATTTCTTAATAAATAGCTGAATTAAAACTAGCTTGTGGAAATTTATCCACAAAACATTGGAAGGAAAAAGAGCAAGACGTTTGGTATTAAATTTCTCATCATGTTGATTTCTTCCCAATGAGCGTGCTCTGGAGGATCAACTGACATTAATTATTTCGGCTAAGGAGATGAAGATGACAGAGTCAGAGTGATACAGTAAGGAAACAGACCCAGGGTGGGATTTTCAAAGAATGGTGTATTTTATGGCAAGCAGCAAATAACTTACCTGCTATTTACCGAAACTATTCAAGACATGTCTGCTTATCGACAACTTTTTTAAAAAAAGTCTCTTGGAATGCAACAAAGGGAGCATATGTAACTGAAACTACAACATCTTCCTGGAAGTGAAAGACAGTCAATTGCAGAACTGATAGATGGCAGAATTACCAATAATCTATTCTGGTCAGGAATAGTGGTGGCTTTGTGGGCTATGTACAGGGTATGTAGGTACTCCCTCCATGGTAAACATTTATTGCCCATTCCTAAATCTAACAAAATTGCTTGTCAAGAGCCATCCTTGTGAACTCATGATTTGTAGTTTGTTTTCAGTCAGATTGCTGTTGTTTCTGTCTTTTCCTCAGCTTAGATGTAACTGCTGCAACTTTTGGATTGCATGTATTGATTTCAGCATTAAATGACTGATGGTTGTTGCTTATGAAACCTAGACATACGAACTTAAAACAACCTCAAGCACCATATTGTCAACACTGATAGCAATATAGCAACATCCTAGAGCATGATGTTTGCCTTCCTAATGTTGATGGTCAAAACAAAACTACTTAAGCCATGGGTCAATTAATTTTGAAACAAGGTTGTGTTCTGGAACTTTTTTTGGCAGATTCAGTTTGGTGTCACTTTAGATGATCTCATAGAACACATCTACTTGGATACCAGAACTGAGCGCCTTACTTTCCTGACATCCAAGTCAAATTGCGCATGAAGTCCTCAGATTTTTGCTGACAATGCCAGACTAAAGTTCTGTACCAAGAAACACCTGCAATGGGAAATGGACAGATGTTCTCAGGTTTGGAAAGAGTTTGGTTTGATATCGAAATCACAGTAACAAATGCTGTGGTCTAATATGCTGCCATGCCACAACTGCAGGATAGATTATAGACAAGAAACTACATTTTCAATGATTTCAGACTTGAAGTATGATTGTGCATTACAGCCAATATATTTGATATGTCCAATGATGGAAATAAATTGGACTACTGTACAACAGCTGTTACCAGACAGTAGCCACATGAGCAAAGGAACTTATGAACAACTTGAATGTATCAAAATACTTAAGTCTAACAGACAGAAATTGAATTACGGTTGTGTATCTCTTAGCAAATCAGTGAAAACTTTATTCATCTTGTACTCATCAGATCTGAAATGCAAGATTAAGAAAAGCTTCAGAAACAAAGCAAAGCAACAATTTGTACAGCATTAGAGGGTGGTGACGGTTGAACTATGGTTGGCATGGAGATGTAGCAGGAAATGTTAACTGTCTGCTAAGATTCAAACTAGGGGGGTCAACTTCAATTAGTCAGGACTTTGTGTGGTGCAGAGATTGGCCATCTTTGCTGTACATTTTCCACTGGAGAAAGAGCTATATGTAGCCATATTTCTTTTGCCCACAAAGAACACAGCCCTAAGTGTGAATAAACACTGAGCCTAACTGATATTTAATTACTTCCAGTGTAATTCTTTACAGTCAGGTATTATTTTGTAAATAATCCTGACAGCTGAATCACATCTATTGTTGGACACGATGCCAAGTTTTACAAGGATGGACTGTTTGAGCATGGTTGGCATACTGGCCACAGCAAAGGGACACAATGCATCCCCATGATAATACCTTGACCAATCAGAACTGACTAATCTCAAAAGTAGCAAGTCAGCTAACTAAGACAGTCAACAATTCCTCTTGCCGTGTACTGGAGTCAACCATGATCCATCCACTCAGCAATCTCTTCACATTACATAAAAAGCTGCTTTGGTTCTGAAGTTGTTTTTTCATTTCTTGCAATTCAGTCCTGATAAGTGAAAGATTAAAAAGCTTTGACATAGTCTCTCTTCAGACATGTTTAAAATATATCTTCCAAAACAATTAACTCTATTTTAGGGAAAAAGAGGGAAGAGAAAGTTTGCTCTCAAAAATATCCTGAAATCAGATCTACTGATCAAATTTTGGTCCTCATGAAAGGGCTGTATTTGCAATTTTGTGTTCCAATAGAATAGAAGGCAGGTGAAATTGCAATGATGTTAAGTACTGAAGGAATGAGTGAAATACATTTACTTCCAACATTATGCTTCAAGCTTAATGGAAAATGTCAAATTATTCAGGTGCAAAACTTGCATTCTGCAGTTGTGTTTCACAAAAAACCAAATCAATACACTCAGTTTATAACTGAACAAAAACAAAGAACTGCAGATGCTGTAAAGCAGAAGCCAAAACAGAAGTTGCTGGAAAAGCTCAGCAGGTCTGGCAGCATCTCAGAAATGACCTCACCGGACCCAAAACATTAACTCTGGTTTCACAGATTCTGCCAGATCTGCTAAGCTTTTCCAGCAACTTCTGTTTTTCCACCCAGTTTAAAATATGGCTGAAATTTGAAGTATGCTTTTTTCTGCATGAACATTTTTCTTTTCACCCATGATTGCACATTCCTTCCTAGATCCTTCTCCATTTTGTTAGCTTGCTGTCACTTTTCACAAATATTAAAATGTTCCTTTTCAGTTCTCCCCTCCAATTAGTTAAATACTCCTCCAAATAGCATGCTGGTTCTGTTCTCCTGCTTCAGTTCCAAAATTTAAAACCCACAAGACTACAGTCATCCTGTGCTGAATGCTGCATGCTCTGAAAATAATCAAACAGCCCATCATTATTGCATACCAATGCAGGGCATAAATTCTCCTTGGCCTCCGCCAACAGAATTACGCACCTATCTGTGCAACTGTTCCTGGAACAATCGTTCCCTTATAAACAAGACCATTTTGTGGATTACTGCATTAACATGACTTTGATATAAACTTTGGTCCTAGGTAGCCACCTTACTCTTTAGTGTGCCATTCCCATCTAGCCAATTTACAACTGTGTTCTTACAAATAGTTTCCAAACTTCTATTCATCTGCACAACCCGGAATGTTATTTATTGTATCTAGTAAATCCAAGTGTAGCCTTGCTGTTACTCTATGCTTGAATTTCTTTGCCACTCCAGCTGAATCAGCCATAATCAGTCATTAAATACATCCCATGCAACTATCCAGTCCAACAAGAAAGGATGCACTGTTAGACCTGACTCTTGGAAATGAGATGGGCTACGTAGATGAAGTGTCAGCAGAAAGCATTTAGGAGACAGTGATCATTGTCCCGTAAGGTTTAAAATGATGATGGAAAAATGACAAATGGTCAATCCCAAATAAAACAAAATCTTGGAGAGAAAAATTCAATGGGGCAAGAACACAGCTTAGAATGAAAAGGTTGGTGGGAAGAGCTCTATCTGAACAATTAACTACCTTCTAAGAAAAGATGGTTCAGGTACAGTCAAGGTACATTTTCCCAAAAGGGGGAAAATGGTAGGACAAACAAATCCTTAGCGTCATGGATGGCACAGATAGAAATAGCAAGTCATAGACTGAGCTGCTAATTAAACTGATGAGACTTTCAAATAAACTGAATCACAGTACTTAATCTGTGTAATTTGCCTAGAACCACAAGCAATGTGACATTTATGTCTATGACTACGAAATCCACAGAAAGTTCAGAGTGCATTTTTAAAATAGAAGACAGAGAGCAGTATTTACTGTGCTTAACACTATCTAGATACAAATAATAAAAACACTCTCTCTCACCACCCAAGCATTCAGGATTTCTCTCACATGCACACAGGTTAAAAATGGTTAATTTATATAGGTTTGGCAGATTGATGCCTTGGATGGCTTCAAACTGGGCTCAAGGATTTTCCTAGGTTCTGCAAGATGATTAGAAGACCTTAATAAGTATTGTCATTTGGTTTCCTGGAGTCAGCAGCTGCAAGGTTGATTTTGTATTGACAGACAGAACATGCAAGTTCGCAGTTTGGACGATAGAGAGAGCAAGAGTGAATCCCCTGGGAACCTTCTTCAGCATCTTCCTCTGGACATCTTTGACTGGCCTGGAAAAAAGCATTTCTCAAAACAAAAAAAAAGAGGTTTGGTGGCTCATCACATGACTTCCCTCACCAAATTAGCAATTACTCAAACATGGTCATGGCAAGCTGACTTCAGGTCTAAAAGATTAGACTTGATAATTATAGCTGAAAGAGTTCCTTTCTCAGCCATGCACTATTAGCTAGGTTGACTGCATCAAATGGCTTGATCCACACCCAGATGAATATACAAGGTGCCTGGAATTTGACAGATGTGTCAGAAGACGTGGCCATTCACATTCGTGCAAGGTAATGATCTGATGCATTATTTTAGATTGCCCATTTCTGGTTTTTTAATGGCTTTAGAATTTGTAGAACACTAAATGCAAATTTCCAGCCATCTGAGAAGCTTTCATTCAAATAACTAGATAATTTATTTAAAAATGCTGTCCAGTCTTTTAAAACTCAACCAGTGGGGCTTCTGCCCATGAAATAAAACATTTCCTATGCAAGGCATGTTGTAATAACAAAGTGTACATAACAGTCGTTTTGACATTTTATGCTAATTATGTGATTTTGTGTTATCCTGTTTCATTAAATACATAAATTCTACAACTGGACCATTCTAAATGGTTCAAGTAAAGAAAAATTAAGAATAGTAGATTATAAATTAGTAATTGGAACAGAGAGACAGACAAAACAAACCAAACATTAAAACGAAAAAAACTCAAGCTCCAATAGTCCTGTTCCTCATGGAATTCAACATTAACAGCATCTTACAATATTTTAGTTGCCAATGGCAACTGTACTTACACAGCCCTTCCAAGAGAAACTCCGCCCCATGACATAAATTGCTTGTTGGATAGAATTGGTGGTACACCGACTGAGGAATTTGAAGATGAAGTGATAGACTGGACTGATTCAGGTTTCCCAAGCAATCCTTTTAAAGCAACTTCATACTGAGGGCCAAAAGGCTGGACGAGGATAGTCAAATGGCTAGAAACAGGAAGATAATTCTTTAGAACTACTTAGTACTGAAATAAACCACTTTTTTCATCATCAATACCTGCATTTCCCTCATTCCAATTTGTTTATCCACCTGAAAGTAAGCATTTGTTGGAAAAAAAGAAAATTTCAAAAAAGCCTCAGTTAAAAAAAAGAACTTGAAGGAATGACTGAGATATAATTGATATCTACACAGTATTTGCCACTTAAGGAAGTATCAGGGCAGATAACCAAGTGTTTGGGTAAAGAGGTGTGCGATAAAGCAGGAAAATAAAAAAACATATGGATCAGAAAGTGTAAAAGGAAGCATTCCAAATCTTGGGGGCTGAGAGATTTCAAGGCACAAAGACCAACAATAGAGCAATTACACTGGGAGTAAACGGAAAGGAAAGAATTAGTGGAGCATAGAAATCTTAGAAGATTGTGTGGTTGGAGGTAACTAAAGATGCATAGGGTGGAGACCAGGGGCAGATTTGAAAATAAGGATGACAGATTTAAAAGTAAAAAAGGATGACAATTTTAAATTGAAGGTTTGTTTGACCAGGAACCAGTTTGGCTTAGTATGCAAAGTGGGGATAGGGAAATAGGCAGCAAAGCTTTGGGGATGACCTCAAGTTAATGGGAATATCTGCCATGTTTGTATTGGAATAGTCAAGTTAAGAAGTAATGAAATGAATAAGAGCTTCAGCAACAGGTGAACAAATAGGAAATTAGAAGCAGCAGGCTATTCAGCCCACAGCTTGCTCCACCACTCAATAAGATTATGGCAGTGGCCTTAACACTTTCCTGACTCCTTGCAGGAATGGCTCTTATCAATCGAAAATCTGTTCAACTCAACCAAAAATATTCAAGGGCCCCGCTTTACTCACTTTGAGGAGTGTTTCAAATGCCACGCTCAGGAAAAAAAAACCTCATCTGTCTTAAACAAGCAATATCTTATTGTTAAGCAGTTAGTTTGAGGTTCTCCTACCAGATGAAACATTCATAGTCAGACCTGCACAGCACAGAAACAGACCCTTTGGCACGAACGAGTTGGACCAATTAGATATCCTAAATTAATCTAGTTCCATTTGCCAGCATTTGGCCCATATCCCTCTAAACTCTTCTTATTCATATACCCATCCAACATGCCTTTTAAAACGTTGTAATTGTACCAGCCTCCACCACTTCCTCTGGCAGCTCGTTCCGTACATGCACCACACTCTACATGAAAAAGTTGCCCCTTAGGTCCCTTTTAAATCATTCCCCTCTCACCTCAAACCTATGCCCTCTAGTTTTGGACTCCACTATCCTGGGGAAAACACCTTAGCTATTCACCCAATCCATGTCTCTCATGATTTCATAAACCTCTAAGGTCAGCCCTCAGCCTCTGATGCTCCAGGGAAAATAGCCTATTCAGCCTCTCCTGTAGCTTTTTTTCCCCCCTTTATTCATTCACAAGATGATGGCATCGCTGGCCAGGCAGCATTTATTGCCTATCCCTAATTGCTCAGAGGGCATTTAAGAATCAACCATATTGCTGTGGGTCTGGAGTCACATGTAGGCCACACCAGGTAAGGACGGCAGTTTCCTTTCCTAAAGGACATTAGTGAACCAAAAACAGAAGTTACTGGAAAAGCTCAGCAGGTCTGGCAGCATGTGAAGGAAAAAGCAAAGTTAACGTTTTGGGTGCGGTGACCTTTCCACAGAAATTTTTCAAAAAGAAAGCTTTCAAAATTTTCCATTCTCGAGGTTGTACATGTTCAAACAATGAATTTACTCAAGTATGGAGATTTGGAGCCCAAAGATAAATCAAGCCACAGGAGAATTAATGGGGGGTGGAGCAGAGGTTGAAAAGTTCACCATAAATCTTACTCACCGGGAAGGTGGTTCAAGGGCCCTATGGTTTACTAATGGCTCTGTTCCCAAGAACAGTACTGTAAAATGTCACAATCATTACTGGACAAGGGATTTGTTAAAAATGTAACATTATTAGAGTACCTTTGAAATAAAAGGGACATCAAGGTGCTACAAAGATGGCATTAAGGCAAAGGGATACTGAACCATTCAAGGTTAAGAGGGCAACCAATAGATTGTTTGAAGGGACAGTTTGAGTTGGGGGTTTTTGATAGCTTAAGATAGGGAGCCACTGAAATTTAGTTTGACAATTCCTGAATTAGACTTAGAGGAAAAAAAGTGTAGGTTGCAAACAAAGAAAAGATTTTTAAAGATGAAGACAATAATTTTCATGAGTGGTGGGAAAATGAGGAAGGGAGGAGGAGTGACAACTGAGCACAACTTGTACCACGACAAAAATCGAGTATTACAATTAGGAACAAGTTGGAGCCTATAGAAGGTGGGAGGAAAACAGTAATAATCTGCTGATAATTTAGACATACACAAGGGTTCATCAACAACAAAATCTGAGGTAAAAAGTTGCATGGGTGAAAAGAGTCAGTTTCAATAACGGAAAAGGTACTGGAAATAATGTTGACCATAAAGGTAAGGTGCTGCTCAGCAAGAGGCAGTGTCCAAGGAAGGCCATTAGTGTAGTCAGTTTTCTAAAAACAAAAAGGGTAACGTTAAGTATTATACCTTTGTATCGTGCTTTGGGTGTCCACTGGAGGATTAAATGAAACCACAACTTCCAGTTCTTCTCCAGGTCGAATTAAAAGATTTTCTGGCTTTGCCAAAAAACAGGATTCTGCAGTCTAAAATAAAATTTGAATGGGAAATTCAAAATTAGGTATCCATAAACTAAGCAAATAAAAAGTTCCAAATTCAGTAGTGAATTATGTAAATAAATTTGAAGATAGAACAGTTAATATTAAAAAGGAGACAAGTGTTGTCTGTTTGGTTGACTGTGGATAAAAACATTTTTAAAAGTCAGCACATTATGACACCTCCACCACTCAGATATTCTGGCACAGAGATAGCTACACTCACAATGCATCATAAGACTCAAATACTGTGAAATGACCAGGTTGAAGTTGATCAAACACTCCCAAAAGAGAGTTTCAGAAATGGGAAGAAGGGTCCCAACCCGAAACGTTGACTTGCCTGCTCCTCTGATTCTGCCTGGCCCGCTGTGTTCCTCCAGCTCCACACTGTGTTATCAGTTTCATAGAGAAACTGTTAAGGCAAACAGTGCCCTAATTATTGACAAATTTACATTTATATAAAAGAAGGTGCCTTTCCAACAAAAGCATTAACTTTTAATTTCAATTAAGAATGGCTAAACGTGTATTGCAATGTAACTTCGCTCATTGATCGCAAAATAAACTGGCAAAATTTAAATTAATTAACAAACCAAAAACAAAGCCCCAGGAAAATGAGTTTACACCTGCAAAAACAGCCAAGTACATTCATTCAAGCAACTAAATCTTGTGGCAGTTCTAAGATGAGTCATCTTAAACCTGAAGTTTGACTGAATCCTTACTACACACCTGGACAGCTGCTCATGAAAACACTCAAACACACCACCATCCAGGACAGAGCAGTTTGTCCAATCGGCTCAACATTTAACCTCTACCATCCAGCCACATGTGCAACAGGATACACATCAGCATCTCCCTACCCGACAGCCTCAATGCAGAGAAAGGCAAAAGTAGTAATGCTGTGTTACACAATTGATGTGTCAAGTAACACTATCCTGACATATATATTTATTGTTCCTTCATTCTTGCAGGGTCAAACTAAATTCCCCATCTTGAGTTCATCACAGAAAATTCAGCACCATAAAAGGACTGCAATGGTTCAAGGAGGCCCACACCACATAATTCCAACTAGGGTTAGACAATAAGTTTGACAATGCCCGGCATTTATCACAGCCAGAGACCAGATTGAACAAAGCTAGTTAATAACTACATCCCTCCCAAGTTTTTTTTAAAAAGTGGTTAGCATGACATTGTAAGACGAGTTCATAGTAGGCTCTCTTCATATTTTGCCATTGTGCTAGCTACTGAAATGATTACTGGAAAAAAGATTTACAATGATATTGCATAAATTTATGTAATAAAGCTTAAGAACACAGTTTTATGTATTACATAATTTAAAGGACTCATGAAGTCTTTAAAAAGGTAATTACTAACATACCTGAATCTGGAGTTGTGCATCAATATTTCCTGCATTTTTGAGAGGTAGAATTTGCCTAGATGTCATTCCAGGCTGAGCACACATTATGAGTGTCTAAGTTTAAAAAAATAATACAAATCTCAGAGCACATGCAGCAGACACTTCTATCAATGCATATTATACTAACAATGGAAGACATTCATCACAAGTTTCAAATGTTTTCACAAAATATTGAGTACAAACAATCTAACAGACATTCACAAAAGAAAAAAAGTTGGTCTTCAAAAGCTTTTTATGCTGACTCTTTGTATACAGCAGATGCTGATAACATCTATTTGAAATGCGCTCTCTTATCAACTGCTGGCTACTGGCTTAAACTCTCAGCCACTGTTTGAATATCTAAACTTATGAATTAGGAACGGAAGTAGACTGCCTCTACCTTAAAAATATTTGAAGACCTCATCTACATGGATTTTAGATAGAGAGCGTTCCAAGGTCACACAACTGTCAAAAAAAATACTCATCTGCCCCAAAAGGGTGACCCTAAAATTGTACACACGAGGAAACATTCTATCCAGTCATCTTGTCAAGACCATTAAATGATCTTATATACGTCAATTAAATCACCCCTTACTCTAAATTCTAGTTGAAACAAATCACCTTGGCCAACTCCTGCACCAGAACATCAAATCTCTTTGCATCTCAAAATTCTGTTTTTTTTTTTACTAAAGTGAACAACTTCATGTTTTCCCACACTATACATCATCTTGCAGTTTTTTGCACACTCAACGTATCTATACCTTTTGTAACCTCCTTCTGTCATCTCCACAACATACCTTCCTCAGTGTCATCTGCAAGTTTGCCTAGCATGCCATCACTCCACTCATCTAAAATATATATATAAAAAATTATAAAAAGCAGAAGCGCCAGTGCAGAACTGAACCGCATCCGCACCCAAGAGTTCTTCACAATATATCATATTTATTCATTTGCTAGTACAGAAAATTATTTTAGTTCATCTGTCTAGCATACAAAAATTAATACTAATATAAAACTTCACAGCATTCAGATTTTCTTCTCTTCTACCCTCAAGAATCAACAATCTCTAGTGGTGTACAAACCATGATGGTAGAATTGGAAAATCAAACCAAACAGGAGTTAATCCTAAACTTTGCCTGGTTCCATTATGCATTATTTCCACGCACAAATTTGTTAGCGAACAAATAAATTATGTGTGTCTTTAAGTGCTTGTGATGACATACCTGTAGGTCTTTAGGAGCATGTATTCTGGCAATTCCAACTCTTGCGCAGAGTGGTACACTGTTAATAACAGTACAGGGGCCAGGTGTGTCAACCTCTATGTCAACTCTTGCAAAGTAGTCCTCAGCTACACCTAAAGGGTCTAAAAATTGTAGCATTGAAGTTTACAACAGTTTATAGTTCAAGATTTGTGATGAAACACAGATATTAAGATTTCACAGGAGATAAATGGACCTGCGCTATTTGAAATTTATTTAACCCCTTTTCATTCAAAGCATTGGTGATCATCATTCCATTAATTCTGTTAATTCTCCAATGGTGTCTGCAGGTTTGAAAACTGCTAAATGTAATGCCACTGTTGAAGAAAAGCAGGAGAGAGAAAACAAAGAACAACAGATCATCAGCTTGATACCAACTATTACAAAGGAGGCAATCACTGGATATCTCAAAAATTGTCAGGTTGGACAGAATCAGCAGTGATATGAATGGAAAATCATGCTCGACAAACCTGACAAGTTTTTCTCAGAAGGTTAACACTCAAATCAATAAGAGGGTGCACTGCATTTGGATTTTTACAAGGTTTTCAAGCAAGTCCTACGCAGATTAGTAAACAAAATTAAAACTAGCACAGATTGATAATAGATTAACAGGCAAAAAGCAAAGTATCGGAATGGGTAATTCCCAGGTCCATGACCACCAGGGTACCACAAAGTTCAATGCCTAGGTTCCCACTATTCATAATTTAGATTAATGATTTCAATACAGGGGCTAATTACAATATTTCCAAGTTTACAAACAATACAAAACCTGACGGGAATGAGAGTCGATGAGAAAGAGGAAAGAGGCTAGTAGGGAAGAGTAGGGAAGAGCACAGCAGGTGGAATATAATATGATTCAATAAGGGCTCATCACTTTGGTTAGAAGAAGGTAGCTTCGGTGAATTTCCTAAATGGTGAAAGATTGGGAAGTGCTGATATCTAAAGGACCCAAGTGTCCTCAAATCTAAATCAATGAGCACGAGCATAAAGTCATAAGATGCAGAAGTCAATCCTCCAACTCACTGAGATAATCCTCAATTCCACTTTCCCAATAACCCTTGATCCCCTTAATGATTAAAAATCTGTCTGTCTATCTCAAGCTTGAAAGTACTTAATGACCCAGCCTCAACAGCCATCTGTGGTAAAGAATTTCAGGTTCATTACCCTCAAATTCTTCCTCACCACTGTCTTAAATGGTTGATTTCTTATTTAAGATCATACCCACTGGTCCAGCACTCTACCACAAGGGAAAACAACCTCTCCACATCTACCTAAGAATTTTACATGTTTCAAAACAAGTTGGCTGTCATTCTAAATTCCAGCAAATACAGGCCCAACCTAATCCACCTCTCCTCATAAGACAGTCTCTCCATACCTGGTATCAGCCTAGTGAATCTTCCCTAGGATAAAGGATAGATGTACTGGCACTTGATACAAAGGGCACTACCAAACTATTCGTAATTTCAGCTGTGGTCTGAACTCTGTCCTTCGCAAAACCTCCCGACTTTTATGCTCTATTCTTTGAAACAAATGCCAACGTTCCTTTTGTCTTCACTATTACCCTAAACTTGGATGCCAGCTTTTTGTGATTCATGCACAAGGACTCCCAAAACCCTCTATTCCGTAGTTTTCTTCATTTAAATTAATATTCACCTCCTCTATTCTTACCACTAAGTACATAACCTCACACTTTTCCTCCATTATATTCCATTAATGTTCTGACCACTTGCTTAACCCATCTATATTCCTCTGCATAATATCATACTTGCCATTTGCTTTCCTTTAGGGAACAGAACATTCAGTTTCGTCATCCAAGTCATTAAGAAATGCTGTAAATAATTGTAGCCCCAGCACTAAACTCTGTGGCACACCACAAGTTAGAAGTCACTATCCTGAAAAATGTTACCCGTATCCCAACTGAGCCTTCTGTTAATTCGCAAATCCTCTACCCATGCCAATACATCATCTCCAACACCATGGGCTCCTAAGTAGCCTAGTGAGTGGTACATTATCAAACATGTTCTGAAAATCCAAATACATGACATTCACTGATTCCCTTTTCTGTCCTGTTAGTTATCTCCTCAAAAGGAATCTAGTAAATTTGTCAGGCATAATTTCCTCTTCAAGAAGCCTTGCTGAGTCTACTTGGTTACATTATCTGTTTCAAGACGCTCTGTTATTACATCCTTTAAAATATATTCTAACATTTTCCCAATATCAGACGTTAAACTAGCTATCTTTGGCAACCTTCTAATCCTCTGGGATTTGTCCAGAAGTTAAGGATTCTTGGAAGATTACTAACTGTGCATCCACTATCTAAGTCTTCCTTTAATATCTGAAGACGTATTCCATTATGTCCAGGAGACTGGAAGGTTTTTAGCCCCACTAGGTTTCCTTGCACTACCTTTAGTAGTAGGCAAGGAATTTATTTCATTTCCTGTCCTCCTTTTGTCCCTTGATTATTTAGTAATTTTGGAATGCTATTACTACTGTCTGTGAATATTAACTCAAAGTTCTTATTCAACTCCTCTGTCACTTCCTGGTACCCATTATTATTTAAGGGGCTTATGTTCACTTTGGCTTCTCTTCCTTTTTACATATTCAAAGATGCTCTTGCTGTCCATCTTGACACTACTTGCAAGTATATCTTCAAGTTTATTTTCTTCCTCTTCATTTTTTTGGCTGTCTCCTGCTGGTTTCGAAAACCTGCTAATCCTCTGGCTTACAAATAATTTTTGCCACACCGTATACAATTTTTTTTCAATTTGATGCTACCCTTAACCTTTGCTGTTAACCATATTTGGGAAGAGGATAAGCCAACTTCCTCCTTCCTCACTGGAATACATATTTGCTTAAAAATCTGCCATTGTTCCTCAATTGTCTATGCTGCTGAACCTTCAAAACACTCGAGCCAGCTCTGCCTTCATTCCTTAGAAGTCATCCTTATTCAAGGTTTGCAGTTGTTTCAGCCCCACTCAAACTTAATGTTCAACTCTACTATTTGTGGTAATTGTGTCCCAGGGAATCTGTTGCCATGGCAATGGATATTTTGGCAGTGTGCACTAGCCCACAGGTGGCCTTGCCATTTACCAATCTTGTCAGTTCATTATTTCCAAATGATATGATTGGCAGCTAAGATCATAATTTCACATTTGCAAGTATCTTTAAAGTAGAGCTTTATGCATCCAATTTTCAACTTGCTATCTGCAGTGCCCTTTGGGTATATTGCGGCAGGACCAATCCATGAAATGTGACAGCCCTCTCCAGAACTTACATGTTAGTTAGAACTCTTATAGGTGTAAATTTGTTGATCTTGTAGATATGCCTGACCAAAGATTCCTAAAGACTTTCTGAATGGTGAAGTAGCTAGAGCCAGACAGACAATACGCAATGATTCCTTCCTTTATTCTTTCCATGCCCTCTAAATGTATACCCAGTAGATATGAATTGACTAATATGAACTACCTACCTTCAATTTTCTTAAAATTCATACATCACTTTGAGCATCCTTTCACACTGCAGTGAAATGGGCCTCAGTTTCTTCCCATTTGATACCAGTGTCAATTTAGCAAATTTCTTCCGAACCTCTCAATAGCTTTGACCTGTCCCCA